ATGATAAGAAATATTCGATGCTTTGCCTTTTATAACTTTCGGCGGCGACTCGCGAATTATTTATGCAGATGTGTTGAGTGTGCATAAGAAAGGACATAAATAAATCCTTACACTAACACACACATAGATACATAATGCAGGTACACAAACATTCGCGAATCACGATCGGTTTTTAATTACTCTTTAATTGCCTTTAACGCGAAGATGACAAACAAACGAAAACAAAATCACATGCACATCTAACGGAACTGGAAAATTCTCAGAATTTTCAAACAGATTTGTCAATATCGGCTTATGATCACAAGAGTATCAACTGATAACGTAGAATGTGCATGAACTTAAAACTTTTCGCCTTCATTTTTTCAATCCGTTTCTGGTAAAAAAAATTTATGATTGATTTGAATGCATTGCATTTGGATTTCTTCATTAGTTTCGTTGGAATTCGAAGTCTCAACATAAATTAATGATGGCACATTAAAAGCAATTTCCGATAAAAAGTCGATTGTAACGGAAGTTCAGAGGATTGTTAAGTAGAACTTTGATTTCGAATCATTTTTCATGTTTGGACTATTCACAAAGTTACAAGAAAAGTTGAAAAAGAACAGATGTTGTAGGCTATTAGCGGAAAGCATAAAATTGAGAGACTTTCACATCTGTTCAAATGATTTATGATGGAGAAAGAAATTTGAACGTTTGTAACGTGGTATGTTAATAGTTTTTCATGTATGACTTTATGGTCCTGAAACTTTTTTTGTATCAATTTTCTAAACTTAAAAGTTTCAGATTTTGAAAGAGAAAAAGAAGTCTTTGAAGTTAAAGGTTTGTAACAAAAGAACATTGAAANGCTGGTGAGAGAATTCTTGTCAGTTTGCATTCACGAAAGTTGACGCGCTTTAAACTCGAATTTTTCTTCGCTAGTTCTCTGATGATTTTTCCAAGAACAAGAAGACTTTGGTTGATGTGCAGGCCTTCGTTGAATGTTGTTGTTGCTGACGCATCTGGTTTTTCACTACCAGCCAAGTCCACTAAGAATAGATTCGAAGTACGTGAATCTTTCGCCTTCTTGTTTTGAGATTTGATCGTTATTTGGAAAATTGTATGCGATCGATTCGAGTCTTTGTTGGTTTTCGTCCCAGTCATTTTTTTGCATTTGTTTCCGACAGCAAATTGTTTCATGACTTCCTTTTCTGATACAGCCACGTACTCCTTCTGATTTACCAAGACGTGTCCATTGGATTCGAAGATGGAAAGTTCCGTTTTACCGTCTTCAAAGAGATCATAAACTTTGTCGTTATAAATCTCAATGTAGCCGATTTTCACGACGAATTCTCGATCCTTAGTTTCGTTGATTTCATGAAAGATGTCACGAACTGCCAATGGGATGATTCCAGGCATTTTATTCTTTCCAATCATGGTGTGAGTTTTTCCGCTTGAAGTTTGCCCATAAGCGAAAATGGTTCCATTATATCCTTTGAACGCTTTCTTGACGATTGGTTTTGCTAAGGCGTCGTAAACCTCTTCAGTAACAGCCGTGGATCCAAAGACGTGTTCAAATTGCAATGTATGCTTGTTGTCAACAGACTTGATCGTTTTTCCATCAACAATCCACTTCTCCTGCTTCTCAACTTCACTTGATAAGTTTGGACGAAATTTGATTCCAACATTAATTTTTGCCATTTTTTATTAGATTTTTTTTTTACTTTCACTGTGAAAACACAAAAATATTTATTTCTTAGAAATTAATTTCTTTAGATCGACTTTCTAGTTCAGAAAATAATTATCGAATGATAAGAAATATTCGATGCTTCGCCTTTTATAACCTTCGGCCGCGACTCGCGAATTATTTTTGCAGATGCTTGAGTGTATATAAGAAAGGACATAAATAAATCCTTACACTAACACACACATAGATACAGATGCAGGTACAAAAACATTAACGAATCGCGATCGGTTCTTAATTACTCCTTAATTGCCTTTTACGCGAGACGTCAAACAAACGAAAACAAAATGACATGCACATCTGACGGAACTGGAAAATTTCCAGAATTTTCAAACAGATTTTTCAATATCGGCTCATGATCACAAGAGTATCAACTGATAGCGTAGAATGTACATGAAGTGAAAACTTCTCGCCTTCACTTTCTCAGTCCTTTTCTGGTTAAAATTTTATGGTTGATTTTAATGCATTGCATCTCAATGTTCATAGTTTGAATCGGACATTTGGATTTCTTCATTAGTTTCGTTGGAATTCAAAGTCTCAACATAAATTAATGATGGAACATTAAAAGCAATTTCCGATAAAAAATCGATTGTAACGGAAGTTCAGAGGATTGTTAAGTAGAACTTTGATTTCGAATCATTTTTCATGTTTGGACTATTCACAAAGTTACAAGAAAAGTTGAAAAAGAACAGATGTTGTAGGCTATTAGCGGAAAGCATAAAATTGAGAGACTTTCACATCTGTTCAAATGATTTATGATGGAGAAAGAAATCTGAACGTTTGTAACGTGGTATGTTAATAGTTTTTCATGTATGACTTTATGGTCCTGAAACTTTTTTTGTATCAATTTTCTAAACTTAAAAGTTTCAGATTTTGAAAGAGAAAAAGAAGTCTTTGAAGTTAAAGGTTTGTAACAAAAGAACATTGAAACATCAGTTTATCGTTGAAGCATTATTAGCATCAAACTGTTAAGCAGTTTAATCACTCCAGAAAAATCACTTTCAACAACAAAGAAGCAACAAATTTATTCATCAATTGCAGCTCGTTTGTTTATTGATTTGATTTTTAATGATCTTGTCATAAAATTTTCATAAAGTCATTGAAGCATAGAACGAACAGATTTATGGTGAGAATTCAGAAATTAAAGGATTAACAATCAATTTCAAATTTTCACTTTCAAGATGTGTTTATTTCATTTTAATTATTGTTTCAGAAATATAATTACCTAAAAGTACATCGAAATTTATGGTCAATAAATTGTTAATTACTCAGAAGTTCTTGAAACTAGGATTTTCCATAAATTAATTGTTTACAAAACAATTGAGATATCAATAAGGTTGAAAACTCATTAAGTTTCCATTGAAAATCAACTGTCATAAATAAACGAAATCTTCTTAAATTTAATTTGTATGTATCATTAAGAAAAATGCCATAATAATAAAAATAAAACTTTTATAATGTGATTTAAAAGATGTCTGCTCTCTTATATTTTCCAGAAAATTGCCTCAAACACATTCACACACTCGCAGCATGGCCATGAATATCCGCATTGTTAAATTATACCTCAAAAATGATATAAAAAACTTCCATTCCGATCACGTTCTTCACACTATTTTTTCGATGTGAAAGAAATGAAAATTTTGTCGTCTGCAATGCTTTTTTTTGAAAATTTCGTTTTGTTAATTTTGATGCTACGTTTAATGTTGCTTGTCTCGAATCGAAACTTAAAAAATATTAAATGACTTTATTATATATTTTCTTGAATGGAAATATAGAAATGTAATTCAGAAGAGTGAATCAAATTCACATTCATTCATTTCAGAATGTTAAGTTAACATAACGTATCCCCAACCTTTTCCCTAATGTTATATTCATTAAGTTAAATAATGAAAATTTAATCCATTCATAAGGTCGCCCAACTTTGCATTCCCATTTTATCTCTCATTAATACAACTATCGTGTTGATGACAATGCATAATTTTCAGACAACATTTGAATAGTGAAGCAAATTTCTCTTATGCTTCCCTTTTTCTAACTCTCTCTCTGGTGGGATAACTTTCATGTTTCTTCTTCACAAAAACACATTTTCATGAATAAGTTTTGTGATTATCACTAACTTTACAAACACCCAAACTCAATGTTTCCATTCAAATTTACTAACATAAGCTTCATTTTTGTCATGATTGCGTGATGTGATCCACTAATTCACAGACATTTCATGACATATTCAATCTCTTGCCAATTTTTAATTGCTTAAAAAAGTTGGTTTTGTTTTGATTTTTATTACATATTGAAATAAATTATTTTATTTAATGGTATTTAATTACAATTAGGTATTTAAGTGAATTTCAAGGAATGAATGCATTAACTTGACGTAACGTAGCCCAATATAGCGTAACATAACCCAACATAACTACGTGAAAAACTAAAACTTAGGTGAAAAATCTTCAAACATTTTCCTATTTTATTTCAATCAATCTTTCAATATTTTCCACAAGTTTAAAAAGAATTCTGTGCTTGTTGAATCGTGCTGACGTTTCTTAATTTCAAACATGAATTGAAACAGATTGATGTTGCTTAAATCCAAGGTTTCATTTATGTAATTTAAAGGAAGGTCATAAAAGATTACCAATTGCATCAACTCATTAACAGATTGGAAACAAGAATCTTGAAGAAAATTTAAATCCTTTTTCATCAGAAACTGTCGAATTGATGACTTTCTCTCAAAGAATTTCTTATCAATAAGCATTTTAAATCGCATAAGAAGTGAGTTGAGAATTTCCAACGACAACAACGAACTACTGTCACTAGCACCGTTGTTTGCTTGTTGTTTCTTAATCAACTCATTCATAATCTTCATTTGCCAGATGTCCGAAGAACAGTTACTGCTATGATACTGATGATTATTAATTGACTGAATAATCTTAAATGAAAGAAGAGAAAAAGATTCAAACCTTTGATCAAAGAAAATAAATCAAAAATCTTCTCACCTTATCTAACGACATGTAAATTCCTAAAGCATGAATTTTGTCTCTTGTTAGACAATCATAAGCTTGAAGTAAAATCATTTGCCTCAAGTCATCACGTGTCTCACTAACGTCATCAAATCCATCATCGATTTGAAATTGTGGCATCATCAACATCATTTTAGTTAAATTTATCATCAAACGATCGTTTGAGAATGAAAGTAAATTCTCTGCTTCAACTTTCCATGAAGAATATTTCTCAGTGGTTAATGTTTGAACCAATAAACTCTTCAATCGATTTGGATCATCAAGGTGAGATAAACAACCAGCACGTTGCACAATGTCAATGCATCCATTAGCTTCGAGTATCGTCATTAATTGATCCCAATTTCTTCCTCTTTCAAATGTCACCGGCCAATAGTTTGGATCATTGATATAAACAGCTTTAAGTGTCTCAAGTTCCGGAAGCATACACGGCGCCATTGTTACCGAAAGATTCTTCTGATCGAATTCAACATAACTCAACTTACAAACAACCAACTTGCCCGAATTTATATCTCGTGGAAGAAACAAACGAGGCTCAACTGCAAGAACATATAAATGACGAAACGCTTGAAGATGATATCGATTGTCATTGCTATGTGTTGGAAACTTCGGAAATAAAGCACAAATCAATGCAGCAATTGCTTCTGGTTTTCTTGAGATAGTGTAACGACCAGCACCTAAGAATAAGAATCCCAAAGCCATGTGAATTGCCATGTGAGATCCATAAGTGACCTGACTATTTTGTGGACCAATCCTCGCTCGTGTCATTCGAATCATTCGAAGGATTTGAAGATTTCCCGTGCCAGCAAACACAAGTGACAAAGCAATTAAAACAAGAATGATGCAAGATTCAACTGTAGCTTTTCCAGCATATTCTCCGATGTATTGTCCATTCGCTGATAAGAAGAATGTGATGATCTTCTTCAATGTCTTGAAAGCGATTGAATTCTGAGTTCCAGCATATCGCAATCCAATGACCATCGCAGCTCCCGTCACAATATTACAATAAGCTTGACAAATTGCCTCATGATCCATATCGAAAGGATCGTTCTCTGGATCAGGCTTTTGCTTAATAATCTTTGATAATGTTTTCGATATTTGTGAGTTAATCCATTCAGTTGTTGGCTCGACACTATTCCACATAATTAATCCTCGTGAAATGACGCGCAAAAGCAAAAGATCGGGACGAACGAAATCAAGTAGAAACATTGTTTCTGGTGGCTTCATCCAATCAGCAACAGCTTGATTATCACTTGCAAAGAACATTAATCCAAGTGCAAGTGTTGAACCTGGCGCTGTGACATCAATATTCACTTGATCGCCTTCTCGAATTTGAAATGATGGAAGTTTATATTTCTCACGTTGCGTCCCAGTTAATGGTCGTTTAGTTCCACCAGTCATGTAGTAATGAAGCATATCAGGAAGATTCAGATCATCAAGTCCAACATCCTTATTACCAGTCGCCAATGTCACCATTCCAAGAGCAAGACCAGCTGATAGCGCATAAGATTCTCTTTCAACATAATTCTCCATTTCAGGTCCTGGCGGTCGATTAATTTCTTGCAACAAAGCTTCAGCAATGAATCTTTTATTCGAACTTTGATAAATCAAGCCAATTCCTAAGAGAGATGCAACTTGAACATTATGTGAAACATCTAATTCAATAGCTGTTGGTGGTAGAAGCGCTTCGATGTGAATTGAAAGCATTCTCGTGATTTTTGTGTCCATCGTTCCTCGATAACTTGACGCCATTCCTAAGATGAGTCCGACACTGAGAAGTTCTTCAGATCGAATGAGATAATCATACAGATAAGTGTCAGATAATGACTTTAAGCTTGATGTCAAGCCAAGTGCCATAAGAAAGCCGGCATAAGTTGGCGGCATTTCAGCATCTTTTGGTTTATTGTACATGATGTAAGTTGGATCGATTTCTGATGGATCAGTAGCGATTCTTAAGCCAGCTGCAACTCCATTATGGAATTGTGGCCAAACATTCATATTTGCTGGAACTTCAATTTGTTGCATTTCAATTGACGCTCCACGGCCAGTTTCCTTTCCTGTCAGACAAAGTTTGGGGATTGGAAGGAGTTCGGTGAGAATCGGATAATAAGTACGAAATGTGAACATTCCACGTCCAACTGGTAAGGCCATTGTTCTTGTACACATAGCAAACAATTGTTTCTCTTGCTCTTCAATAAATTCATGATCGGAGACGTTGGGAAGTTGAACAATGTCGATGATGACGGGTTTTGAGCTGTTTAAGAATTTCTTCACATCATTTATTCTTAAATCATCAGGAAAACGAAGGCGAAGAAGTTTCGTGTCGATGTGTTCCATTCCATCATCTTCCACAAGTGCTTTCTCGGATTTTGCAATGACATCGGGTGGCGTTTTAATGCGAGGCGTTAACGAAGTTTCTTGTTGGTTTCGTCCAATCTTTGGATGCTTTTTGGTCTTCTTGAAAGCAGCGTGAGCATAAAGTTCTGGTCGAAGAAGAAGCTTGTAAGCAGCAGCTGAACAACCAATTGGTGGATTTAATCGAGCAGTCTCTAATATTTGACTAATGATGTAATTAATGGCGATTGGAAGTCGTTCAATTTGTGTTCTCGTGATGTTTTTACGCAATAAACAGTCAATGACAATTTTTGTGACAGAAGTTGAATAAAACTTCTTCGATGATGGAACAACAGTTGACATTTTCTGATCATTTCCAATCTTCACTCTTTCAATCACATCCGACGGATTTTTCGTTTTCTCGAAAATTATTGCGAGAATCTCAAAAATGTCACGCGACAAAACATTAACATTCTCAATAAAAGGCAACTTCCGGAGAAGTGATTTGTTTGTAAGATTAAGAATTTCTTTAAAAATTCTCAAAGGCTTTCGAATCAACTCTTTGCCTACCAACTTATCACTGTCAGTGTTGAGAATTGTCATTTTTGCTTTCATTTGAAGAACATTTGGATTGTCAACAACATAATGAAATTTATATTCTTCTAATTCAAAATCCATCGAGAGCTGGTAAAGAAATTCTGATAAAAGATTCAATTCGTGATTTAAAGAACTGTCAAGTTTCATGTCTTCGTAAAGTAAATGAGTTGTGTAGAAGATAGAAGGGATGTAGGGGAATAAAGAAGCATCAGAAAGATAATTTTGAAGCATTTCTTGATCATCTTCATTGTAATCATTGTGAGAACATTGACAAGCATTCAACAAATATTCCCAATCACTGTTCGTCCCATTTTCACTCTTCCTTCGCTTCTTTGCCCCAATTGTGACGTTGGAATTTGAGCTGCTTGACACTTCATGTGGCCGTCCCATCATTTCCATTAAAAGATTCTTGAACAATTCCCATTCTCTCTTCAAACTCAAATCTTTTGTTCCAGGTGAATTTCTTATGACATACCAACGAATCATGAGCTTCAAGGACTCTTTCGGTAGAACTTGTCGAATTCCAATTAAAATCTTCCTCACAATTGAACTCTCGCACATTGCTGGTAATGCGATTCTGTACATTTTCCCATTGATAAACGACAAAGTGATTCGATTCCCAGCTGGATCTTTAATTGATGTACAATTGTTGAGCCGTAATGGTGCGTTCGGATGTTGAAGTGGTTGAACAGGAGAAAGAAGATGAATTTCTTGATCAAATTGAGAATCAGCTGAGCCTGATGTAACATTTGGCAACAAACTTGAACGTTTTGGAAACCCAGGAGTGTTGAAACTCGTTGTCATCGGGACATTTGTGACAATCCCAGAGACATGAACTTTTCCTACTGCTAATGGACCTGAATAAAGCATAAGAGTGCCGCAAGGTAGAAGAACTGCAATCATATTCATTCGTGGCAATGCAACAGCATCTTTTGCTGATATATTTGTCATTGCACCAAACATTGCTTCATTTGTTGGATTAATTTCAAGTAAATTCAGTTTATAAGACTTCACCAACATAAAGCAAAGATATTTTTGTCCAATGAAATCCATGTGGAGAAACCCTTTCATTGCCATTTCATGATATTCATTCCAACAATTTCCATTCTCCATCCAAATTTGTTCCATTATTAAATCTGGCACGAGAGGCTTTGACGTCTCACATTCTCCAATTTTTCTGGCCATTACTGAAATTGAATTGCGACGAAGAATTGAATCAGCAAGTGACGAAGCTAAGTTTGATTTGTATCCTGATGTCATTGAGTTTTGATGTTGTGTTGTGAGATTAAGTAAAGGAGCAGCAATGCTTGTTGGTGTACTTCGCCCTGAAACATTCTGACGAATATTTGACGTCGTCCTTAAAGAGCAATGAATATTTGACAGTCCACCAATTGATGTTGCTGTGTTCATGTCCATTGTTGTTGATGTTGTGTCATATAAAGCTGTAACAATCGCAGTTTCATCTTCAGTTGCTTTGCGTAATTTACAAACTAAATGTTTCCCACTTCGAGCATCAAATAAGAGGACGATGTCGCTGTTTTCCGACGTGAATATTATCTGATAGATAATCATTGTTAGGTTTAATCATTAAAAAATTAAAAAAAAATAAGCTCACCTTGAATTCAGCTTCAGAAATGTAAGAAATATTCAAATTCGATTTTAATAAAATTGGAAACATGTCATCGAGAGGATGTGTCAGTGAAAAAACTCTTGGCATTGATAAAGATTGTCCATCAACAACAGTAGCAGATGCTTCTTTTTCGATTATAACACAATATTTTGTGATCCAAATCTTACTGATTGGTGACTCAATGGATGTCATCATATTTTCACCATTTGTTGAATAAACTTTAAGACTGCTCACATCAATAACACCGACTCCTTGATTTTCTTCATTTTCAGATCGTTTTAATTGTTTGCATTCTATTTTGTAGTCAGCATCAAGAAAGTTCTTTGTACAGAAGAAAGCAAACTGGATTGGAGCTTCACTTGTGTAACAAATTTCGGACGATGTTTTCTCATTCTCTGATATTGCGAGCCCTTTTGACCATACTGCTGTGTTGCCTCTATAATAGAGTTCTTGTTCTGAATTTACAATTGATGGATGGAGAAATGCGAGTTCATCTGCGACATTTTCTTGCTGATAAACTTCCCGAATTATCCAGTTTTCATTAAAGTGTTCATCTTTACTTAGATTAACATTCTGCATTCGATCTAACAGAACAAATTCATTAGGAATATTGTCATGTTTCTTTGATAAAGGTCCTGGATGATCATCAACAATTTTTCTGCCGCGAGGAACGAATTCCTAATTGTTTGTTTTAAATTTATAACAAATTTCAATGAAAATAAAAGAATTTAGTCACATACAATTTATATTTTAACTTAAATTACCAAAGGTTCTGCAGCAGCGATCATATTCTCTTGATACACATCCAGATTAAAGTTCTTAAAAAGAAAACTTTCAAAATAAAATTCTTTTGTTTTGATTTTTTTTTGTTTGCCGGCGAAATGCAAAACTGTTCGACGATTTCGTAACGTGAAAATGTTTATACGATTTTCAAATTTGAATTTTAATTTAACGGAAAGTTATACTATTTTTGACTTTCTACTGATAATAAATTTTAAAAATTCTCATTTTTGAAAGGAAAATTTTTACATTTCTTTCGAATATTTAGGCTTATTTTAAGAAGTCTTCTTCTCTGATTATAATGTATCATATCTGTTATAAATAAACCATTGAACCGTTTGATATCATTCTTAATCTAATCTTATTCGTTATCACACGTGTAAAAGTCATCAAACCGCCGATATGAAATATTCAAGTGCTTACTCAAGAATTTTTTTCTTAAATTAGGTATATGGATTAATTACTATCTTATCTTAATTGATGTTTGAACACCATTGAATTGCCAATTAGTACAAGTATAAAAATATTGTAAATTCTTCTTACATTTAACTTAAGTATAAATTTTATACTCACATAATGCAATACTTATGAAGAGACAACCATTAAGTCATTAAGTTTAATAAAAGAAGAAAAAACTTTCAATCTTCTATGTATGAAATAAAACACATCCACACAAAGGAGAGCTTTCAAGTAGTTCAGCGCTGTATTTTGCTTTTGTCTGCAATAAACAAGCAGCAAAAGATATTCAAAACAAATCTTAATTTAGTTGAGCTTCATCAGCCGTCGTGAACATCGCGTTAATTTTTCATTAAATAATGGATTTAATTTTATTATTGATCTTTGCTGGAACATTGTTTGTCACGTTTTTACCTTTTTTCAAAAAGTTAAAAAAGCAATATGAGTTTCAACAAGTGATAAACAAGCTTCCGGGACCAAAATCGTATCCATTCTTAGGAACAACTTTACCTTACATAACAAAACCTCGAGAAGGTTAATTATGCCAGTGAATAAAATTTACTTGTGAATTGTTTCATATCGATATAACTTTTACAGATCGATTCAACCTGGATGTACAATATGGGAAGCAATATGGACCGATTTACAGAATGTGGCACGGGCGAACTTTCCCAGAAGTAATTTAGTTATTGCTAGTTATCAAACATATAAATAATTTATATCTAATTTAATTTAGATCCGATTAATGACTTGTGATTATGCTGAAGAGATATTTAAATCAAGCAAACACATTGAAAAATCTTACACCTACAAACTTTTAGAACCGTGGCTAGGACAAGGTTACTAACAAGTTTTTGTTTTCTTCAGACTGAATAATCGTTTCGTTATCTCTTTTCATATTCTTCATAGGCTTGATTTCATCAACAGGTACGAGATAAAAATAGAATTTCTCAGCGATCTGTTTTTATTAGAAAATTCTTTCTTATTATCTTATCAAAGGTCAACACTGGTTTATGCATAGACGTTTGCTTACTCCAACATTTCATTTTAGCATTCTAGAGAACTTTTGCGATGTCTTTTATGAACATTCAGAACTTATTGTGAAGAAATTAGAAGAACTTACTGCTGATGGCAAGCCAGTGAATATTTATCCCATCATAGGACATGCTGCACTTGATATCATTTGTGGTGAGTTATTTCTTTTAATTAATTTAGTCATCTGACGATTGATTCATTTCAGAAACTGCAATGGGATTTAAAATAAATGCATTGGAAAAAACTGAGAATGAATATGTGAAAGCTGTTTACAGGTAAGTCAAAATTATTTATGCTGTGATTTATTTCATTTAAAAACACGAATTTAATAGCTTCAGTGAAATTGCAATGCATCGCTTTTATAAACCTTGGCTGCGTGTTGATTACTTTTTTCGCAAGTCATCTTACGCTGATAAGTATGAAAAAAGTTTAAATACTCTACAAGAAATGACAACGAAAGTAAGATTACGAAAAGCTTTAAATATTCTAATGATTAATTCTTTTTTAAATAGGTGATAAAAGAAAGAAAACTCTCAAGACAGATGGACAATAATGAATTTTCAGGAAAAGCTGAAAATGACTTTGGGATGAAGAAACGCAAAGCATTTTTGGACTTATTGTTAGATGGCAATGAAAGTAATAAGGAATTAACCGATGAAGATATTAAAGATGAAGTTAATACATTTATGTTTGCTGTAAGTAAATTGAATTTAAATCTTTCATGCAACTCTGAGTTTTTTCTATCTTTTTACAGGGTCATGGTAATTATATTGACATTAAACAAGAATATTTCAAACTTAACAGCGATTTTATAATATTTTTTATCAGATACCACATCGGTTGGCATTTGTTGGGCTTTGTACATGATTGGTTTACATGAAGATGTTCAAGAAAAAATTTGGGAAGAGATGAAAGCAATTTTCGGCGATGATAACAAAAAGCCTGCAACATACCGCGAGTTGAATGAAATGAAATATTTAGAAAGAGTGTTGAAGGAATGTTTAAGACTTTATCCATCAGTGCCTAATATTTCAAGGAAAATGAATGAAGATATTGAACTTGGTATGACTGCAATATTTAATTATTAATAAAATATTTTAATTTAATTAATTCAAGGCGGATATACAATACCGAAAAATGCAATTGTCGCTCTGCAAATATTTTTCATTCATCGAGATGAAAGGTAAATTTTTTAAATGTAATTTTATTTAATTGTAGTACAATTTTTTTTTTTCATAGATTCTTTAAAGATCCAGAAAAGTTTGATCCTGATCGATTTTTACCAGAAAATATGGAAGGCCGGAATAGCTATGTAAGAATCAAACTTTTAATTATATTCTCAACTGAATTTCATATTTTGTTTTTACTTTAAAGGCATTTGTGCCATTCGCTGCAGGTCCACGGTAAGTCTTCTTAGTTAAACAATCCACATTTTAAATTCTCAAAAATTATTTTCAATATTTAAGAAATTGTATCGGACAACGTTTTGCTCTACTTGAAGAAAAATCTGTTGTATCAACGATTGTGCGTAATTTTAAGATCAAATCAATTGAAAAACGTGAAGATATTAAGTTATTACGAGAATTGGTTTTACGGCCAGTAAATGGAATTAATTTGAAACTTGAAAAGAGACGATGAAACCTAAACTGAGGTTGGAGTTGAATGACAATTTCTTGAAGTTCTCTTCTTATTCCTGCAAATATTTAACAAAAAATTAACTGAACTAATAAAGAAAAATTGTTTAGAAATGTAAAAATGTTTTTGCTTTATTAAAAAATGTCAAAGCTCTGAACCAAATGAATTTATTGATTGTAACCTTTATTCTTCCATTTCTTTTTCGGTTTCTTCACTTCAACTTCAGATACCGAATTTTCTTCAGTAACTTCTTGATTGTCTTTTTTTCTTTTCAATGGATTTCCTTCGTTTTTCTTTTGGCTTTTAATGTTTTCTTGCTTTTGAGCGTAAAATTCGTTGACTTCTCCTTCTTGACATCTTTCAAAGACACTTACAAAAAATCCATTTGAAAGATCGTCGGATGTTCTTGCATAAAGAACTTTACTTCCCAATCCAGGATAAACTTTTTCGCTTCCAAAGTTTTTCCACTTACTGTCAATCAAATTTCCAGCATCAACTAATTTAAAATCTGAAACTTTCCTTAAAACACTCAGCACAACTTCTTCGTTCTCTTCCGTATAAATTGAACATGTTGAGTAAACAATTCGAACAACATTAGGAAATGATGTCATGGCATGAATTAAAAGTTTGTGTTGAAGACCAGCAAGTTTGAAAAGTCGACCAGCATCTTTATTGCGCACTTCACTTTCAAATCTATTCAGCATTCCTGAACCTGAACAAGAAGGATCAAGTAAAATGTATTCAGCTTTAGGAACATCTTCGTCCTTAACTTCCAAGACGTCTTTATTGATTGGTTGAATTATTGTTGCGCCTGTGCCTTCAACCATTTCCAACAATGTCTGATAACGTTTCACATTCATTTCTATTGCATAAATCTTTCCTTTGTTCTTCATTATTGAAGCGAGATGAGTCGTCTTAGTGCCTGGAGCTGCACACATATCGATTACAGTTGATTTATGTGGTGGATCAAGAAGAACTGCTGGCAGACAACTTGCTTTATCTTGAAGCAGAAACTTTCCTTCTTGAACGAGTGGATTTGTTGCCCAATATTTTCTCGAACTTGATGGAAACACGAAAAGATTCTTGATGTGGAAATCTTTCAAATAATTTTCGTCATCGAGATTTTTTACAGCTTCTAAAAAGTCATCGTAAGTTTCAAACGAACTTTCAATCAAACGCCAACCTTCTCTTTCAAGATACTCTTTTGCTTCTGTTTTCTTTATCAAGATCGTGTTAAGTCGAATGTACCGTGGAACTGAAAGAAAAATAAACGAGAAATTTTTTTTTGTTAAGAAAATGTCACTAAATTTATTAATAAATTAATTTCTATAATATTTAATTGTTAATTAGATTTGGATTTAATTAAATTTTTGGCAGCTTCTTCTTCTTTTCTCGACTCCATGAAGCCAAAAATTGCATAAAGTGCAATGACAAGATTAACGGTGATGACAGAACTGAGCACACACCAGCAAGTATTTTGAAAGCCATCGATATGAAAATAATCGCGGAGCAACATTTGAGTTCCGTAAAATGCGAGGAATGGCAAAGTGAACATTAAAACACTGAAGAAGAGTAAGAAAAGCAATGCGAACGAAGCTTGTTTTGTGTGGTAAGGAATCAGAGCGTCATTGTCTTCTTGATTATTTGTTGTGTTATCACTTTGACTACTTTCCTCATCATTAGCATCAGCCACAACATTAAGTTTAGATTTCTTATTTCTTTTACCCATTTCTGTAAGAAAATGAGACAAATATCAGCAAAGCTGTTAACGACTCACCTTTATATTGTTGAAGTTTGGATTGCTGATTAGGATTCTCGCCTAATTCAGCCAAAGCTTCCTTTAATTTATCATGATTTGATAAAACACATTCAACTGGTTTCGAGTGTCCATTTAATTGTCCACGACCGAAAATCAATTCAGCAACGAGAATCTTAGCGAGGAAAATGTTTGGAATATTTTGCAAAATATCTGTCTTCGCCATGATTTGTTCAAGTTGAATTTCATTCGCTTGAATCTTTGTTAATAAAGCTACTGTGCTTCCAGTTTTCTTTAAAATATATAACTTTTATGAGATTTGATATGAATAAAGACATTGAAATACTCACAATGTGTTTATTGTTGTAAACTAATTCTTTGAAGGATTTTCCTTCTTCAACAATTTGTTTTAATATTTTTGCAGCTTGCCGATATTGTGTTGGAACTGGAATTTTGTGTGGCTTTCGGTCTGACACCCATTCTTCCATTTTCTGTTGATTCTCATTTTCCTCTTCCATCCTCGTGACTTTAGATAATTTTTTTGTTTCTTTAATTTTCGACTTACTTTTAAGAATTTTCTAAATTTTGAATCCTTTTTCTACTGATAATGAATCCGGGGATATTTGGAAATAATGTCCTTATTATATTAATGACCTTTTTATGCTTAAATTATTATTTTATTTGTTGAACACAAGTTGGGAGTGATGTAAACAAACCTAACAAAAATTAGAAGCTCTTTCACACCCCTTTTAATGCATATTGAAGCGGCCCGCGAAAATCTATGCACACTGGAAGCGGGAACATGCGCTGCCTCATAAAAGAAGCAGACATTGTTTTTCAAAAAAAATAGTGAAAAATAATATTACGATATAAAAGCCAAATCTAATCAGAAGTCGTTTTAAACACTGTCAAAAGCTTCGCGAAGTTGTTGTGAATAAAAATATTATAAATGTAATCTAAAAAAGTTAAAAAATGAAGACTTCTCTAACAAACTTGTGAACAAATTTTTTTTTCCAAGAAAAATAAAAACAACACAAGAAGGAGAAAAAAACAAACATTGTGAAATTCAAGAGAAATTTGTAAGCTATGGTAGTGGCTTTGCCGTTTCGCTATGACCTTTGGTCGAGCACTGACCCTGTACGTGAGGAGGACTTTATTGATGTGCATGTTTTACTGCCAAATGGTAACTACATAAACCTAAAATGCAGATCCATGACGACTCTATTCGAATTAAAAGAGGTACGAAGGCCACAAAAATTTAGATGAATCATGCAATTGAAAGGAAAATAAAAAAACAAAAACTACGAAACGAAAATAACATTAAATGCGTCATAACATTTATTTACACTTTTGACATTATTTTTATTGCTTAACAAAGACCTAAAAAAACAGATGAAATAATTTTTATATGTTTTCTAATAATCACTTTCTAGGAGCTTTGGGAAGAGGCTGAAAAATTTCCGTTATTTGGACATTTGCGTGACAAGTCGTTGTACATCATATATGCGATAAAGTCATCATCTGCTCGGGTTGAGGAACTCACAGATGAATCACAAAGAATTTGCGATGTTCAGCCATTTTTCGCGCTCTTTAAAATCGCAGAACGTCTGGAACTTTCTGAAGATAGTAAATTGAATGAAAACATCACAACTTTGATTGGCAAAAAGCTTAGCGAATTCAAAACACTGAAAAATCCAGAGGTAATTTGATTTTTTTTTAATTTATGATTGATAAAACTTCTTAAGACCAACTTGAAGATAATTTAAGTTGGAGTGGATTAAATATATTTGGAGTTAGATTAAATTTAATCTAAGTCTAAGAAATGCCTTGAAAGAGATTAAAATTAATTTTTTACGTTTTTTTAGGTGAACGACTTTCGTTACAAAATTAATTTGTTGGGCGAGGACATTGCAAGTAAAAGGTCAACAATGACATTGAAAGAGAAGATTCTTTATCAATATCCACCGAAATTAGCGAACACAAATGAGATTCCACACACCGTAAAGCAAGTACTGGAGAATGGGAAAGAATTCTTGATCGTAGCAAAATTATCAAATGAAGATATCTCAGTGACACTCAAAGTGTCTTGCTTCATTAATCCCACGAAGTTAATGGATGAAATCATGCAAAAAATGCAAACGAAAATCAAAAACTTTCGTCGACGAATGAATGATTACATCTTAAAAATTTGTGGTCAAGAAGAGTACATTTTCGGTGATTATCCTTTAATTCAGTTTATCTACATTCAAGATCGTTTGTCTCGCGGTGAAGTGCCAATGGTTGTCGTCAAATATGTGTCAGATGTTTATGTGTTCACAAGCAATTACTCGAGTGACCCAATAATGAGTCATGGTCGTGCTAACGGTGGCAAAACAACGAAAATAAACTCATCGACATTAAGAAAGAAAGGAAAACACAAATCATCATGGGATGTTGACGATAATTTTCAAGTATCAATTCAAACTGTTAGCAATGTCACGGTTGATACGAATAAAAGCATCGAGATTGGAATCCAGGCTGGTTTATTTCACGGTGGAAAAACTTTATGTGAAAAACAGAAAACATGTGAAATGGTAGTTAAAGATTCAGGAAGTTGTACGTGGCTTGCAAGTCATCAAACTTTGAAATTTGATATCAAAGTGAAAAATGTTCCGCGCATGGCTCGACTTTGTTTGGTCTTGTACGAAACAGCAAAAAATGCAAAACATATTCGAGCTCGAAGACTGAAAGATAGCCAAAAAGAAATATTTATCAATCCTATTGCGTGGGTGAATACGACAGTTTTCGATTATAAAAATCAATTAAAAACTGGCGGACTTACACTTTACACTTGGACTTATGCTGAAGACTCAGACTCAGAAGAGTTACTTCATCCTCTTGGCACTGTGGAACCAAATCCACGAACTGACGAAGCAACATCAATCACAATGACGTTCCACGATTATAATTCTGACTGTTCAATGCTCTATCCAACTGAAAAAGAAGTCATCGAATATGCTGATAAGCTTCTGAAAGCCTCTCAAAAGATGCCTTATCCAACATCACCGACTGAAGATGATCGATCAATTATCAGCATACTTCAGCCTTACATGCACAACGATCGAATTAATGACATTTCTGAACAAGAGCGAAAAGAGATTTGGGAACGTCGCTTTGATTGTTTACGTTATCAACCTGATGCACTTCCATGTCTTTTGTATTGTGTTGAATGGAATAATCGCGATGAAGTGTCGGAAGTGACAAGAATACTCAATGAATGGCCACAAGATAAGATGTCAGTAGAGAGAACATTGGAATTGTTGGATTATGCATATGCCGATCCATTTGTAAGACGTTTTGCGGTTGAATGTTTGAAAAAGATTAAAGATGAAGATCTTCAATTGTATCTTCTTCAATTAGTGCAAGCAATTAAACATGAATCGTATCTTTATTGCGATCTTGTTGAATTTCTACTTCAACGTGCATTGAACAATCAAAGAATTGGACATTTTCTATTTTGGCATCTGCGTTCAGAGATTCAAGTGCCATCAGTTCAAATTCGATTCTCATTAATTCTTGAAGCTTATTTAAGAAGCTCTAAAGAACATATTTCGATTCTTATGCGACAACTGAGTTGCCTTGAGAAACTTCGACTGGGCAGTGAGCAAGTGAAGAAGGTTGGAAAGGAAAAAGCTAAACACAAACTCATGGAATTCTTATCATCAGTGAGAGGTGACTTGAAAAACATCACATCGCCATTGAATCCAAGCTTTCGTTGTAAAGAAGTTCGTAATGACAAATGCAAAGTGATGGACTCAAAAATGAAACCAATTTGGACAGTTTATGAGAATGTCGATCAGCATGGTGAAGATATTAACATAATTTTCAAGAACGGAGATGATTTAAGACAAGACATGTTGACATTACAAATGCTTCGCATTATGGATCGAATATGGAAGGCCAATGGATATGACTTTCGTTTAAACACGTATAGTTGTATCAGTATGGATCGTCGATTAGGAATGATTGAAGTTGTGCTTAATGCCGAGACAATTGCGAATATTCAGAAGGAAAAAGGAATTTTCTCTGCAACAGCAGCATTCAAGAAAGGTTCATTATTTTCATGGCTTAAAGATCACAACAGCACTGAAGAATTGTTGCAAAAAGCATGCAATGAGTTCACACTTAGTTGTGCTGGTTATTGCGTTGCAACTTATGTTCTTGGCGTTGCTGATCGTCATTCAGACAACATTATGGTGAAGAAGAATGGACAATTGTTTCATATTGATTTTGGTCATATTCTTGGGCATTTTAAAGAGAAGTTTGGGATAAGACGAGAGCGAGCTCCTTTTGTTTTGACACATGACTTTGTTTATGTCATTAACAAAGGACGCAGCGATAAGGAAGCTGACGAGTTTAAGAAATTTCAATATTTGTGTGAACAGGTGAATTTCGATAAATATTTTCTTCAATTTTATCCACTTAACAATAATATTTATGATTCTTTAGGCTTTCATAACGTTAAGAAAACATGGCGGTCTTATACTTTCACTTTTCTCCATGATGATCAGCACAGGTCTTCCAGAATTATCGTCCGAAAAAGATTTGAATTATTTGAGGGAAACTTTGGTAAGTTGTTATATGAAATTTAATTAAACTTTAATTAATGTTTGAAATGCTTAACAGGTTCTCGATTTATCAGAGGACGAAGCTCTTCGTCATTTCCGTTCAAAGTTCGATGAAGCACTTCAGAACTCATGGAAAACGTCGCTCAATTGGGCATCACACAATTTTAGTAAGAACAACAATAAGTGACAGTCGCATGACTATCTAACGGAAACATGAATTGATGTCGTCTTTGATATAAACATATGTTAAATATAATTATGATTACTATAACGATTGTCGAATAGAAATTTTGATGTTTTACTTATAAAAAAAAATGAAGAAATGGAAGAAAAAATCAAAAAATGCCTGCATGATAGATAAAACGATCTCGTTTAAGTTTAATTTTAATGTCGACTATGTGTTGTTGTAACTTAAGCTTGTTTTTTTCGAAAGATATATTTCTAAATAATTATTTGATATGACGATTGACCAATTGATTGCTCAAAAGAAAAGTAAAGAACTCATTTCATTTGTCTCTGTTTAAAATTAATCAAATGTTCATAAGAAAAAATTTGCTTTGTCTTTCATTTTCATTTCAATACAACAACAGTCAGTGACATAATTGGATATAAATGTTAAGCAACATAAAGTAATAATAATGATGATGAAGGGAATAAAGTGAAAGAAGGTGTAAAAATGCATAGAAGAAATGAAGATAGATAACTTAGGCTTAGCAAACGACGATACAGGAAAATTTAACACAATTAAAGTTTTGTTTCTTTTTATTTTTGCTTTTTTTTTCATTCTCCGAAGTTTTTAAAAAAAGGACGGACAGTGATAATAATAAATGCTTAGCTGAATTTGATTGTTAAAGTTTTGCCACCGATGATTTTTCTTTTTTAAATTGTCGAAAGTCTCTTAAGTGGGATGGAATTATAAATTAAGAAAGAATGGAAATTGAAATGTGATTTATAATGAAAAGTAGATAAAGGAAATTTTTTGGAAGAGATGACGGAGATTTATTTTCGAGAAGGTTGTAAACCCATAAGATGGTGAAAAACTTTAACTTGTTTTCTGTTTTACACTTTATTTTATTATTATAATTATTATGATTTGATCGGAACCGTTCGCAGTGCCTCTAAATAAATCACAAGAAAAGAATTAAAGTAACGTCTAAGAAAGTTTTCTTTTTCTTATTATTTACGAAAGACTGAAACCTGGAGAGTTATCATTTTAGCATAATCTTATTACGAACTTTTCATGTCTAATATCTAAATGCTAACATAATTAGAAGCCGTGTAATTCTCTCAAGATAATTGTGTAACGAAAAAATTGAATAAGGAAGAAATTGTAATAAATCATAAAAAATCGATCTCACAACTATTTCAACCGATGATGTTCTAAAATATTTCGTTGTGCAAATCCGGATTACACTTAAATAATATCGACATGAAAACACGATTGACGATTAAGCAATAAATAAATAAATATCTAAATGTTTAATGATAACGGATAATCCACAATCATAATAAAAAAAAAGTAAAAAATTATCCCACAAATTTTGATGCAAATTGCTTTAATTATTCGAAAGAAGAAAAATTAATTTTAATTGAATTTTACTTCCATACTGAATCATATTCGTTTGCAAAACTCATTAGAATTTATTTTACCTTCAATGCTGGACATTTTCTTGTTTTTCATCATTTTAGATAATTTCATCATAAAATTATGAAACGATTTAAAATAATAAAGAAAAACATTTTGAAACTTAAACCTTGATTTTTTATTTTATTTCTGCTTTTTCTCTTTATCATTTCTCTCAAAATTTTGTGACTTAGACATTCGTCAAAAAATTGTGTGAGGGAATGTCGACGAGACTTCTTTCCACTCATTGCTGACGACAGAAAGTTCCTCAAAGAACACATTCAACTTTAAAAGAATTTTGAAGCCATAAATATGTTCACAATAATTAACGAGAGCGAGTGCGAGAATTAATTTTTATTTCAGATGAGAGAAAGCAGTTCATCATCGTAAAACAAAATAATAAATTAAATCAGAATTAGTTGCGTTCTTTTAGTGGTGCGGTGAAGATCGAATTTACGCTTTTTATACAACAATTGATAACGTGCGTTTTTGAGAGCAAAAAAGTGAGAGAAATTTTAATTTTAACATATCGCGTTGTTTAGCAAATCATCAAAATTTGTTTATTTTCTGTGTCTAAATAATAGCGATAAGAGACGACGATAAGAAGTGATCTTCATTTCTGAATGAAAGGAATTTCTTTAACTAAGTAGTTTCATTACGACAGTGATTATTCAACTTGTGTACACGCTTAATAATCAACGTAACAAATGATAATCCCTTGAACTTTTCATTCTTAAAAAATATATTTTCCTACTTCATTCAAAATAAGAAAAATTTCTTATTCAATCATCAAGTTGATTCTCTATCTACAACATTACAAAACTAACCACGAAGTGAAGGAAAACTGAAAATGCATCGTTACGAGTTAATACCAGACAAAAGCAAAGATGAGAATGGCAGTGATGGAAGTGTAAGTAAAGTTTATCATTGTCATTTAGTCAGCCTTTGAGATAATTTGTTGTAAATAGCGCGAGATATCAAATTACCTTCACGATACATTCACTTGCAGTTCATTGGAAGTTCTTCGTTCGAAATAATTTTTTTATGTTTTCCTTTCCAATAAATTCGGTCGGTCATTGCTTCAGTTCGATTTATTTCTTCAATCTGTTTGCATTAAAAGTGATTTAACAATGAAATATCCCGGTAATGTATTTTACTTACCATTAAAGGCTTATTCAGATCCAGATGATAACAGTGACAAAAGTGCGTTGCTTGGTGGAAGCAGCAAATCATACGGAACAGATAATTTGGAATTAGCCATTGCAATTGAAGAACGATTAACTTATACTTGGAAAGAAATCGACGTTTATGGAGAACAACCAACAGAAGGAAGTTTGTGGTCCAGAACAAGTAAAAAGATCAACAACTGCTTCTCTGGCAATGGCAAGGAATTCGTTGCAAGAAAACATTTACTGAAAAACATCACGGGGATAGCACACAGTGGAGAACTGTTAGCGGTACTTGGGGCTTCGGGTGCTGGAAAGACTACGTTAATGAACGCTTTATCATTTCGTTCACCACCAGGTGTGAAGGGAACTTTCAACTCATCTCCGCCATGTCAATCAAAAAAGTTTTGAATTCAAATTGTTTAAAGGTCTCGCCAACATCTATCAGAGCTCTCAACGGTGTGCCAGTAAATCCTGAACAACTTCGATCTCAATGTGCTTATGTTCAACAAGACGATTTATTCATAGCATCATTGACTGCAAGGGAACATCTCATCTTCCAGGCAATGCTTCGAATGGGACGTAAAGTTCCATACGCTCAAAAAATTGCGCGTGTCAATGAAGTCATTATTGAGTTGAGTTTAAGGAAGTGTGCAAACACTGTTATTGGAAGTCCTGGAAGAATTAAAGGTTTATCTGGTGGGGAAAGGAAAAGACTTGCATTTGCTTCTGAATCTCTAACAGATCCGCATCTCTTGTTATGTGATGAACCGACTTCGGGTAAGTTTTATTGATTATCATATTGAGAATTTTTTCATTTTCTTGGCTTCTCTCAGGTTTGGATTCGTTCATGGCACACAGCGTGTTGCAAGTGTTAAAACGACTGGCAAATAAGGGAAAGACAATCATCATCACTATTCATCAGCCTAGTTCAGAGTTGTTTGGAATGTTTGATAAAATTTTGTTGATAGCTGAAGGTCGCACAGCATTTCTAGGGTCACCGACACAGGCAACGGAATTCTTTGAACAGTAAATTAAAATTTTTATCATTTAAATTCTGTCTGACATTAAAAACTTTAAAAATTTTGTATAGTTTGGGTGTGCCATGTCCCGTAAATTATAATCCGGCAGACTTCTTCGTGCAATTACTGGCAATAGCCCCAAATAAAGAGCAGGAATGTCGTGCGACCATCAAAAAAATTTGCGATTCATTCGCTGTTAGTTCATTAGCGGAAGAAGTGAATGCGCTAGCATCAAACTTAGGATCAAATGAGGAACTCGCTAATCGACGTCTGATTAACGGAAATAAATATCGCGCTTCATGGTTAACTCAATTCTATGCAATATTATGGCGCTCGTGGCTGAGTGTTTTGAAGGAGCCAATGTTGGTCAAAGTTCGAGTACTACAAACAATTGTGAGTTTACATTTCTCATTATCGACAGCATGATGAAGCAACTTTATTTCTAGATGGTGTCATTCCTTATCGGCATCATTTTCTATGGACAAGTTCTCGATCAAGACGGCGTCATGAACATGAATGGAGCTTTATTTCTATTTCTCACAAACATGACTTTTCAAAATGTTTTCGCTGTTATCAATGTTAGCAAGTTTCACATTATTTTATTTATTTTCAATCACATTGATTGTAAAACTTTCCATTAGGTTTTTTCCGCTGAACTTCCGATATTTATTCGCGAATCTCGAGCAAGATTGTATAGGACGAGCACTTATTTCCTTGGAAAGACAATAGCGGAACTTCCGCTGTTTCTTGCAGTGCCATTAATCTTCACGACAATTGCTTATCCAATGATTGGTTTACGTGGAGGATTTCTTTACTTTTCGATAGCATGCGGTGTTGTGTCACTTGTTGCCAACGTCTCCACGTCGTTTGGTTACTTAATCTCATGTGCCAGTTCTTCAATTTCAATGGCATTGAGTGTCGGACCACCAGTGATAATTCCATTTTTAATTTTCGGTGGCTTCTTCTTAAACGCGGGATCGGTTCCATCATACTTCGAGTGGCTTTCATATTTATCATGGTTCCGTTATGGAAATGAAGCGCTTCTCATCAATCAATGGACAGGCGTGACAGACATAATATGCACTCGATCCAACACCACATGCCCTACTAATGGACAAATCATTTTGGATACTCTCAACTTCAACTCGGTAATTTTATGAAATTGGATATCTCAATTAGTAGGATAAACATTTTATGATTGATTCATTTACAGAGCAACTTTGGATGGGACATCCTAGCACTGATTGTATTGATTGTAATTTTCCGTTTTGCAGCTTACAGTTGTTTGGTTTTGCGTGCACGTAGTAAGGAGTAGACATGAAGGCGTCCATTGCATGTTAAGTAATCTTTCTTTCTGTTTGTTTAATAATTTTATAATCTCTTAATGCAGTAGTAATAATAATGATTTTAAGTGACACTTTGCATTAAATAATAATAATTTTTAGGTAACGAAAGTCATGCAGCTCATTAATACAAATTTTGATTTGTGGTTTGTTTTTCTTTTAAACTTAAAGTATTGTAAATGATATGATTGTGATAATGTAGGAAAGAAGAAGATATCCGAGAAAGATGATGATTACGTAATTCATTGATATGGGACTCGGTCACGCGTATAAATAATTTTTTGATGCGACCTGATTTCGTCAAAGTTTACGAGCAAGTGTCGGTCGCTTTTTCTTCTTCTTCGTCGTCATCTCTTTCTTCTTCTTCTCTAGTTTTCATTGATCGTTTATTTGCTTAAGCAATTTGTCATCATCGCGCCCTCGTTTTCTTTGTCATCATAAACTTTTCCCTAAATTGTCGCGTTTTAAAAGAAACTGCCATTTATGTATGTATTTATATCAATAATAAAAGTGTAGAAATATCTATGAAAGTATATTAAAAACAAATCATTTTGATTTTATTGTGACTGCCAAGCGATTAAAATTTTCATTATCACGCATGTGTATTGAAATATATGTAAATCAAATCATAAATAAAACATAATGACATCGGGCATACGCTAGCATTGTTGACCCATTGAAATGTTTTGTATTATCAACGAGTTAACGTGTACGTTAATTTCTCGTCAGTTGAAATGAAATTAAAACCAAAAACGAGTTTTTTTACGATTATTTTGCTGGAATTGTGCAAAAGCCGAAAACATCGAATGAAGTGATCACGGAACACTTGTCGCTTCATCTTCATGTATTTTGTTGGTTTTTATTGAACTTTTCAAAGATGCTAAACGTGGAAATGTAATATAATGACCGTAACGTATCATTTGCTAATTGACGAACTCTTTCTGTTAAATAAATATTAAAAATAAAAGTCGATAACTTAAAAGACAATGAAGGAAGTTGGCACGGTTTGATTTTGAAGGAAAATTTAGAGCTTAGCGTTGCGTAATTTTTACAACAAATATTTGCGTTTTCTAAACTCATCAAAATTGCATAATGTCGAGTGTCGTAAAACTGGAAGAATAAATTTTTCATCCACTAACGAATAAGCGTTTGTTCACACCAACCAACTCTCAATCTATGGTAATAACATCAAATAACCGATGAACATCAAATAAATAAATTTATGCTAATTTTAATCGTTTAAATGTTTGAAAAAGTGTCAATGACATCTCAAAAGATTTTACGATAATATTATAAGCGTCAAATATGAATTAAAACATTGTATTTGTCTTTCTGTACTTTGAAAACTTTTATTCAGATCAAAAGAAATTAGATGCAATTTCACACTAAGTGTTGTTTCATTTCATCATTAATTTTCGCTTTCAGTCATACGTGTAATCAAAAAATGAGTGAACGAGCCCATTGTAGGTCGATTATATAATTTCGGACATGGTAAAAATTTCACTTTCGTGGGAAATGACTCTCTTCTTCTTCTTCTTTTCTGCTTCTTCTTCTTTTCCATTTCTTTCTTTCTTTCTTTCTTTCTTTGTTTTGTCACACTAAATATCAAGTCTCGTTTTTTACGGAAAAAACGAAATAAATTGTGTAGATATGAGGAAGAAGGTGAAGATGTAAGAATGTGGGTCAACAGTCTCGTCGATTATTAAGCGATTGAGAAGTGTTACTTGCACTATTCGTTGGGTATGGTGCGAGCAATATTTAAGTATTGAATTATGGCAACGTATCGTTGACGACACAAAACTGTCATGATTATTTACAGCTTGTTGGAAGCGAATTATCGATTACGGATTCTTGTGACTCAATTGTTCAAAGTCACACCCTACCAGGCCGTTAAACTGCTTGTTTTGTATGCCTCGTTAAGTGACTATTTGCTACTAAAGTCATAACTAAAAGATCTTGGAATAATCAGAAATAACAATTTTAAGTTTAATTTTTTTTTAAGAAATAGTTTTTTTATTCTTTCTTTTATATTTTTTTCTTATAGTTTAAGTTTTTCTTTTGGAAAGTTTTAACATTGAAGGTTTTTTTCATCTCATTAAATAATAAAATTAAAGAAAATTTTGGCTTAATACTGTTGAACTTGCACTTTTTTAAAAGTGTGGGATGATGTTGAATTGTGCACTAAAGTAGAAGCAGAAATTTAACCAAGCAACTTAAGTTTTTTCTTGAGAAGAAGTTTCTTCAACAATAATTTCTTGAGGATTTCCTGGTCTTCGGTTGGGTGGAAGTTGTCGACGGAATCTCCAATGACAGATTCATCAACTGGAATAGCCGCAACATAAGCGATAGCTAAGAGAACAAACAATGCCTGTGAATAGAAAAAAAAGGAAGTGAATTACAACTTGATATTATTTCATGTCGATTAATTGCAAGCAGAATCGTTTTGTAACTTTAAATTATCCGATCAACTTCAATAAAATTTTATCCGAAAAGTTTAATTGCAATCATTTTTATGCTTCACAAAATTTCACTTTTCCCATTCCGTTGTCTGTTTCGAGTTCTTTTTAGAAAACTTCTTGCTTTTAAGAAAATTTCACTTCTTATTTAATATTTGCTTGTTATCGTCATTTACTAATTGATAAATATTTAAACATACCAAAACAATGAATTTCATTTTAAATGTTTTGTAATTTTTCTTTCTTCACTGTAGTTTAATGTAATGTTATTAACTTGCAATATGTTTAAGCAGACTGATGGATTGTCGACAATGTGATCGCGTATTTATACCGATAGTCACTACGATCGTCTCTCTATTTTGCATCAGCTTCGCCCTTATCCATCGATACTTTACCGAGTATAAACAGAGAGCAATCCACGATTTTCCTTCTTCTTTCTTCTTTTTTTTCGGCATTTTTTTTACTTCTTTCCTTGTCTCTTGTTTGATTTCATTTTTATATTTTTAAGCTTATGCATGCAACGCATTGACTGGAGGAAAAAGGTGATTTTTAAAGTCATTTGCAATGTATTCGTGCCATTGGATATCATATCACTCGCATACATTCGAAGACATTCGCCTTAATCATCGGTAATTCGACAGAGAAAAAAATTATTTCTCATTTCATGTTCATTGAGTAATCGTCGAGTGATACGAGGAAGAGGCAACACACTTGTTGTCATCTTAAGAGGTCTCATTCATTCATTTGTTGTAGAAACAAGTAAAAAGTGACGCGTGCACTACCCAGCCAAAAGAAAGCCATCATTTGATGTCTTCTTGATGTGTAAAACTATGTTTGTGGTCCCAATTGTCCTTGGACGTAAAACACCCAACTGTACCTGCACGGAGTTGAAGCTTCGAAATATTTTTTATGTAAATTTCATTGTTGACGATTTTTTACGATCCATTTCTGGTTTTCGTTTAAGCATTTTGATACTTTTCAATTAGTGAAATGGTAGTGTTAGGTAATTTGTACATAAATAAGTTGGATTTTTATTTCTTTTTTCATAAACCACACACGACCATTTAAAATGCGTTTCTTAAACAAAAACAAAAGAAAAGAAAAAAGTTTTTCATTTTTGGCATACACTTTCATGTGCTCATAGCATTTTATTATGTACAAATTAATTTAATTATAAATAATTTTATATAATCTGATATTGTTTGAGTTTCAACCAATTGTTGACTGGGCGGTTGACTGATTTCCTGATTAAAGATTTGGCGAACTTAAATCTTAATGATCTTCACGTTGTTGTCTTAATAAACTTATCCCTTGAGGAGTTTCTTCACTTTTTTTACTTTGAGAATGATGAGGCCTTTGACCAAAGCCTTCTTGCTGAATTCACTGTCATCGGCTGGATGGAAGGGCTCAACTGAGTCTCCGATTATGGTTTCATCGACTGGAGCTGCTTGAACGTAGGCGATTGCGACAAGGCAAACCAAAAGAGCCTTTAATAAAATAATGTAAGAATTTATTAATTGAGCTCTTTATTTTCAATTTCAATAAGATTAATTATGATAGTGATTAGTAACTCTTGCATTACATAATAATTAAATTTTAAATTGCGAGTGCCAATCAAGAGTTCATCAGATTTACGATGCAAACATATTGGAAATGACTTTGATGATATTTCTTTTCGAACTTTGATAACCTTCTCAAATTCCACTTACCAAAACTGCGATTTTCATTTTATTTGTTGATTATTTGCGACTGTTTACGATTAAACTGAAATTCAGCTACTGATAGACTTCCATTTGAATCTCAAGCCTTTTATATGACCAAAGACAAGATCAAAGACGAGCTAAAAATTTTCATTGTCAACCACATTTCGGAAGGAAGCTTTTCCAATAACAAATTATATTTGGTTATTTACTCTGTTGCAACGATGAAAAATGCGCTAAAAATTAACATTTGTCTAAGCCTAACCGACAAAAGTCTCGACAAAAGACGATGAAAAAACTTGGTGTCCATCGAAGTGAATAACGCAAATCAAGTTTTTTTTGATACAAATTTCATGCAAAAGATCTTCAATAACCATCATCGTTGGCTGATTCATCTGAAAAAGCAATTTTAAATGCGTGGGGATTTTTTCAAGCTCAAACAGATGAATGATCTTGACCATACCTAACTTTCTTGTTTAGCTTTTGAGCGTGTGAATTTCCACTCAAGAACAATTAAGTTTTATAGATTTTTGTCATTCACACTTTTGCTGTGATAATCGACAAGTGTAATTTCATTAGAAAAATTCTTGGGTAAATTTAACTGATGCTTGTACGTCATAACTCTGAATTTCAGAGAATATTTTGAGAACTAAAATTTTAAAATCAAAGCACGAAATTTTAGCGTCACGTTTTCGAAATTCCTTAAGTAAATTAACATCTTAAGACTACTATGTCAATGTTAAATGATAACCTTTTTCACAAGCTTATGAATCCTCAGAAGATAGAGACGTGGAAAGTTTCAAGACACGATCCGATTCTGCGCAGCATCTCGAAGATTCTGAAACAAATTTCTGAAAGTTGACGTGTTTTATTAGAAAATTCCACGTGATTTGAATAGGAAGTGAAAAAGTTGTTGATTTTTGGAGGGATTTGAAGATTGTTTATGAATGACATTTGCAAACAAGATTAGCTACGATGTAATCAGGAAGTTGAATTTAAATTCATTCGAATTCTTGCATGGCGAATCAAGAATCGCTTCCGATCTCTATTTTAAGCTTACTACGTAATGACTGAACCATCAGCAAACCAATAATAACGTTGTAAGCGTATCAAATTTTACTTCAATTCGTGTCATTAAAGTTTAAACAACGAACGCTATTTTAAAATGAACAATGATAACTCAACATAGATAAGTCAACAAGTCGAGCAACTTGTCACAACTTGTGACATAACTTTTAACTTAAAGTGAACTTGTGACTTACGCTTATTGATCTAACAACTCGTATTGCAAAAACGCCAAAGGGATCTTTGTGAATGTATTTAGAATTGAATTATTTCATTTAGTCACGATTTAAAAATAGAAAAAAGTTGTAAAAATTCAGAAACCTGGAAAACTCATTCAACATCAATTTAAAATTTCTAACTATTTAAAAGTTTTCTTTAGAAAAAATATTTTTTATTCGATACAAAATAAATATAGCATCTTAAGCGGATGTGAAATAAATATTCGCAAATGAGATGTGTTTAAGTTTAGCTCAACAGAGCACTGCCGACGAGGCTTGTAACAGCACGGATGATATTACGAAGAACAACTTCTTGTTCAACTGAGTCTGTTCTCTCATCTAAGCCGTTTAATCCGAGTTCACCAGCAGCGAGTTGAAGAATAAGTCTGAGAAGACCTCCATCGCCACCACCTCGAGTTGGAGCGATTCTTGAAGATCCTGTTGATGACAAGCTTCTGGTTAGAAGACTGAGGAGATCAGATGTGTTTGGTGCAGCACGTTGTTCTTCTGGGAAAGGTTCAGCAACTTCGAGTTCTCTGAAGCCACGTGGAGGGAAACGTTGTGGAGCGGCAGTTGCAACAACAATCAATGACAATACCTATGGAAATATTCTGAATTTTAGTAAAAGTTTGCCAACATTTTAAAGTTTATTTAAATTTTTACCAAAATTGCGATTTTCATTTTGTTAAATTTTCGTTTCTGTTTCTTGTGACTTTCTCGGTTGAGCTTCAAACAATCAATTGATGGAAAGCAGTCACGAGACTCATCTTATAAAAGAAAGATTTCTCCTCGAAATTTTATCCAAATTTCCTTGAGAACTTGAGATTAAAACTTGATTTGAAAAAACCTTTGAAAGGCTTAAAACTTGATTACAGAAAGCATCTCGCCTTAAAACTAACGGAAGGTCAGTTTTCATGTTTCTTTTCTTTTGTTTTCTTTAAATCTCATCATTTGCATATTTGTCATAAATTTTTTCGACACGTAAAAAAATTTCCAGCAACGTTCAATAAAATTTCAAAGGTTGGTAATTAATTAATTTGTTTTTTATTCAAGAAATGGAATTTTTAAAAGAGAATTTGAGAAACGGTATCCCTGAGAGAGTTCGAGAGAACTTGAAGAAGTCTTGGTGCTATATTTGTTGGGTCATTCAGTCTGTTATCTTGGCTATCTCTGTGAACTTTATCAATTTTATCTGTGAATTGATTTCTTCTTCCATGACTAGCATAAGTTGCGTCTGGCTTCCTTCCTCTCGCAGCTTCAAGAAATTGAGCGACTGTGTTGAAATCTGTTGTTGTTGAAGATCGACTGAAGTAAAGGTTTCTTAGAAATCCCGCAAACAATGCTTGTACTGGATTTTCTTGTGTAAGGGCAGGCTGAAAGATTGTGAGAAGAACCAACGATTCAAAAAGAATAATCTGAAGGAGAAATTTCTTTAGTTTCATAAGCTTATTAATTTTAAATATCTTCAATCTCACCATGTGAAAATGTTTCATATTGAATAAGTTACTGTCGTGTTTTCTACAAAAATGACAAAAATCAACTTCCAAAACAATCTTTTTATAGCGAAAAAGCTTTAATTTTGTTGACCGAGACTCTAAACAACAATTTGGTGAAGGCTTATACCAAAATACAAGCTTAAGGCCATATTTAGATTTCAGAAAAATTTGTCAATTGCATCTTTGAGCGTCAATTAGCGTCTCAACATTTCTATATATTTTATTTTTCTTTCAGATTAAATTAATTGTTCAGTCGCGAAGCGAAGTCTCTAATTTTTATCATCAAAACCTTCTAAGCTTATTCATCTGTCATCGCTTTCATTGACTTTCTCAAAAAAAATTACTATTTATGTAGAAGAAATGTTTCAAGTGCTGGAAAAATGTTTGTTGTTCCAGCTCGTTGCTTCAGTTGCGATGACAAACTCTCTTCAATGGAACACTTTTTTATTTTCTTCAGTTGATATTCATACATCGAAGTGATAGCTAACAAACATAAAATGTACTCGAACATTTCACAATTTGGTTTATACAGGTGAAATTTCTTTTTCGAGACTAAGAATTCATTCTCATACTTAAAAATATTAAATTCAGATATGAAAACAGTGCATCGGCAATTCATACAAGAAATCAAAGAAAATTCCATTCGAAAATTGTAATAATCAGCATTCTCGTGATGTCAGTAATATTCTGCGCACTTCTATTTATATTTATTAATTCGAGATACGTGTTTCCTGTACAAGTCACCAAGGCTGTGAACAACACGTATCCAAAGATACCAGAAGTTAAACGAGGAATTGAAATTTTTGAGATATCAGGAAGAAATGAAACTGAATCAGAAACACCGCCACGAAGAATAAAACGTCTTGGCAGTGACGAATCTGACCGATCTCCTGATTCTCAGAAAATTGTTTTTTACCCAAAACGTGATATGAAAACACCGAAAGTTAAGAAGAAGCGAAGAGTTTTAATTGTTCCACAAAATCATAGAATGACTTCGCGCATGACAATTCCGCGTCCATTTAATCACGTGTTGATGAGTGGACAGAAATTCAAAACGCTTCAGAATGCACAATCAACATTGGGAACATATTATCAAAATTTTCCGAAATCAATGAACCAGTTTGCATATTCAAACACTCATCCAACGAGATTGTCATCAAATCCAACTCGATTAAACACTTTGCAAGCTTCATCATTCAACCCAGTCAAGTTATCTGGGAAGTTTCGTCATCCAAGGAAGAATGGAGAACTGACAAGCATTTTCCAAGCAGATGCAACTCAAAAACCGACAGGTTTCCACTCAGATGCTATTAACGATCCGTTTCAAAATTTCAAACCAAAATCACCATACGAAGTCAATCAACTCTTGTTTCAGAACAATGTTCGACCAATGAAAGGTTTGACTCCAACACAAACTTCTTATTTTCGAAGACACAATCGCCATGAAAATATGATTTTGCCTCATTACAATAATATGTTTTCAAGAGATCCTAACTTAGGCTTTCCAAGCAGTGTCAATCCTATCAAAAGCTTTTTACCAGACCATAGTGAACTTTCAAAGAACAAACCATTGTCACTGATGCTTGACGTGTTTCCTTTGACTGGTGAAGTTATGGGAACAAATCAAGTGAAACATGAAATAGCAACACAACAATCACCAAAATTGTCTAGACTTAAACCATTCCAAGGATATTATCAAGATCCAAGTTACTTCAACTCAATGCAGTTTCCTCAATTAATGCCTCGATATCCATCATATTATCGTTACATGCAGCCAGTATCGCATTCAAGTAATTTGAATCCAATAAGTGTTATGAAACCACCAAGTCAACTTGTGGTTCATCTAAATTTATATCCCAAAAATAAAGATTCATTCAAAAGGTCATCGACTGAAGAAGATTTCAGATATACAAGAAAAGAACCGCAAGTAACGACAGCATCAACAACAACGGAATCAACAGCGCCAATTCCATTTAACATAAATTTCAATATGAATACTAATGGACATCCTGAAAACATCAATCATCAATTTAATCTACCGAAAGAATCTCCGTTTCATCACAACACTACGATAGAGCCATCAATGTCTCCTTATTACTTCTACGATGACACAGAAGAAGATGACAAAAGTATTCTCGTTTCACCTTCGTTAATTTATCCAAATATTTATCGTGATCGACCGATTCAATTGATGCTTCAAAATTCAACAACATCATCATCAACAACGACCGAAAAACCTACGAAAAAATTTCAAAATCATAAGCGTGATTATCAAACAATTGTGAGACCTAAAAATTCAGAAAATTAAGAACGAAAAGGAAATTTCAAAATTATTTTCTCTCTTTTCAATCATTTCGATTGTTTGAGATGAAAATGAAAACAAGTGAAAACGTTTCTTTTTCTAATTTCAAACTATAGAAAAGCTTTTACAATTGATTATTGTTAACATTTTTAATTATTCTAAACACGATATGAGAAGAGAAAGAATTGCACGTGAAATAAAAGAGAAAGAATGTTCATCTAAGTATATAAAACATTTAATTGCTTCACAGTTTGTTGCTTGGTAATTGTATTTTCTGTTCCATGCTTTGCTGTGATGATGACTGACGACGCTACACTATAATTTAGAACGTTTGTGAAAATTTGACGTTATGCAAACACTTCCTTTTGCTTTTATACTCAGTGATTACTAAGATATCTAAATCATTTAAAAACATTAATCTGGCAGCATTAAAATGTTTACAGAGAAAGTTAGAGAAATGGGCAAAGCAAGTCTCTTAATAGACTTTTTTGGATATAAATACTCGTCTCTGTAAACATATTGATTGAAGTTTTTTACATTTCAGTGAATAATGTTCTCATGAGAGTTTAGTTCAACTTTAGAAGTTTAATAGTTTATACGTATGTAAATTGTTTTGGAGTTCTCTCGTGAATGTGAACTAAAATAATTCCCATGGATCATTCGAAATTCACGTATTCGAGAACTCCCCTCAAGACGGCGTCGTGAAAAACTTTACAAATCTCTCGTCACAGCTTAATTTTAATTAACGACTGTTGATGTTATTCAACTCCTTTTTTTCTTTTCGAGAAATTTTAAAAGAAAACTTATAAATAAATGCTAACTCAATTATGTTGAAATCTTGATAGCGATATTATATAGCAAATATTTTTATTATAATTTTGATAAAAAATTTTGTGACTTTAATCGTCTTTGTCCACTTTAAGTAATACTAAATCGGTTTACTGTTTTCTCTTTCAAAGAAAACAGTAAAC